ATATTTGCGAACGAATACACTTGTAAATACGATGGAATAACACATTCCAATAAATACACACTGTCACGTTGCCCGAGCTTTCGACTCAGCGCTCTGAAAAATATAAAAAGACATCGTTTTAAAAATTCAAACGTGAAAAGATTTAACCGCAAACTCGAGAATGCTATTATTCGCGATAATAGAAAGGAAACTTTGATTACATCATGAATTTATTTTAAAATTATCCATGAAATCCCTTTTTATCTACCTCTTCCTTATCTATTAAAAACTTCCGTTAGACTCTTTACGTGATATTCGATAAATAAATCTAAATCGTACGTAATATCCCTCTAATTTTTAATCCTATATAAATTCTCTCCAGACTCTTATTGTTATTCACGAGCAAACATCGATGAAAGAAAGTCGTCGCAACAAGATCGAATAGCGGATCGATGGAAATGAATTCCTCGACGTTAGTTCAACTCTCTGAAAACCGTTGTTCAGCGAAAGGTGGTGGGGAAAAAAAGTAAAAATGAAGTGATACCGGTCGGACGCGAATTGGAAATCCACTAGTTTCCCGTTTCAAGATCGCACGTCACACGCAACGTGGCGGCCGGGCGTGTGCACGGGACAAAAGGGCTACAGACAGGGCTGTTTGTTACGCGGGGAGGAGGGGTTCACGCAAAATTGCGCGCCCAGTTAACTTCGAACCGGTCGAAAAGTTATCCCTAGATTGGGCTTTCGGCCCCCTCCCCTCCCCCCTCGTACTCCTCGATAAGTTAATCTCCTCTGTCTGCTCCTCCGCGTGCTCGTGACACCCGGCCTTTGATTTATTAGAACGTCGATCAGTGTCGCCCTCGGTATCGAATTTCGAATGCGTCTGTTTGCCTGTCCTTCCTTTTTACCGAGCTTTTGTAGAATGACGTGACAACCCTCCCCCCCCCTCTCCGACGAAGGAAAATATTAGCCTCTGGACAAAGATCGCCTCTTCTATATTGATTGCGACACGAACGTTCGAATAGTGGACGTTAGAAAACGAGTTCTTTGATTACTCTGACAATCATGGAGACGTATAGGTTATCGGATAATATAAATAGCGGGACTAGCGTTTCGTTTTGGAAATTTTATTATTGGGCTTAGGTGTAATTAAATTAGCTATCGATTTAATTTGAAAAAAAAGTTTGTAAAATATTTTGTTACGATTTTTAAAAGTATTCTGGAACGGATTAAATTTTTAAAACAAGGGGAATATGTTTTTTAACTTGTATTCTGATATATTCTTTTTCTCTAATTTTTTATATTTTACTCGTTTGAATTGTGCGTAGATTTTTTAGTGAATTTAATATAGCAATGTACGAATTCAATAATTTTGGATTAATAAATTTCGATTAAAAATATCGTGAAAATCAATTTGCGATAAATAATAATGATTCGAAATGATTATGAAGAGCGAGAATTCAGCTATGAATTCAAACGAATTAACAATAAACGCGGCAACAATTTTCACGATCGAAAATTAGCTAGCACGTTGAAGCTAGCACGTTGAAAAGAAATTTGCGGGCGGGAAGCAATTAAAATTTCAATCACTACCGGTGCCCCGTCCCCAGAGATAATATTCATGAGGGTATGCGCGCGTGTGTTAATAAGAGTATCAAATAATGCGCTTGTCCAAAAATCACTTTGGAGGCCGTTAAATGCTCCCCAGCGTTTTCGAATCTATATAAATCACGTGCATCGCCGATGCGCCTGTAATTAATATTCAATGATTATCAATTATCGAATACTTTCGGCGTAATTGAACGTAATTAAAATGATTTTATCCCGGGCAAGTTCATTAAAATAATCGCGATACAACGAATCGTCCAATCATAATATTTACATTATTTAAATAATCGCGGAAATATTCGAAATATCGATAATCGGCTTTGGCGGTAGCCGAAATAAAATACAATGGAATATTAGGTAAAAATCAGAGTTTTTCGCGGATGAATATCTCGAAATTTTCCACGGAATCATTGTTCGTGATCCAATCTCGGGATTTTTAAAGCTTGTGATACGTGTGGAGTGTGTTTGATATTTTTGATGGATTAAATATTTGGTTTATACCGAATACGTGTACTTCAATCGCTAAAGGGAATTTATAATTTTAATAAGAACTTGATCTATTGATAACTATTAATAAATTATTTCTTATTTGATGGAAATGAATGTGTCGTTTGGTTTAGGAAATGGCATAAATATAATTTAATGCAAGTTCTCTTGGATGGAAAATTCTTGGATAGAATTTTATTCCATTTTGATAGAACAACGTTGTTTCGATGTAAGGTCTATGATTTTTGTTTTAAAACGAAATTAATGAATGTATGTTAATTTAAATATTATTTATATTGATCGAATTGGATCTCAATTTTCTTTCCTGGAATACTGAACTTTGAAACAAATAAATATGTCTAATACTCGAACTTTAAATTTTTCAAAATAAGTAAAATTTCAACTTGAATTTTGAACTTTGTAAATTTTACGAATTCTTATCAAGCTAATGAGAAAATGAAGACTAAACAAAATTTGAAAGAAATATACAAACGGAACAGATAATTATGGCATCGTGCCATAAGTTGACACTATTATAAGTCACTTCATCACGTGATTCCATTACGTGATTAATTGGTTTGTTGATTTTCTGAATTCTTTTCCTCGTATTTGCAAGTACGATTTTTCTGACGATCGATAAAAAAAAATAAACTTTAGGAATAAAATTTTAGGAAAAAAATTGAAATCTCTCGACATGGAATACAGAAAATAAATTTAGCAAACGATTTAAAAAAAATCTAAAACGATATTACTTATCCATATGCAAAAACCATTATTTATACAAAAATATCGCGTTTGGAAGAAGTATTGTCGCAATATTTGCAACTTGTATCGAATCATATTATACATCGATCGACCCAACTCTCTCCTAACACCGCTGGCAAACCACTTCCTCCATCGATTCCCAACCTCTGATTATCATTTAAACACGGCCGACGTTCGAGCGTACACCGAACGTACACTCGATCCTCCCTCGAATACCTGGAGCTTCTTCGATCCATCTTCGTTCCACGAATATCTCCGATCTAAACGATCTTGAGCGTAGTTAAACGGCGAGACGTATATAATCGTTGGTTTCCATGGGAATCCACGAAACGGGGCGGCCGAACGTTAGGCGGGCGGAAAACTCATCGGGTATGCAGATATCAATAAAGGGGGATTCTAGACTAGGCCATAGCATCCGACGCCGTGCAGGATTCGATCGGCTCGTTCTCAGCAATTCGCGGCATGCCCCGAGTCGAGCAATACCAGCCGCATCGAAACCGTAAGGGTTGGCGCTATGCCGACCCCTTCGTTCAAGGGGGCAATAACATACCGTACGCCACCCCTGAAGCCACTACGAATAATGGAGCCTCTCGACTATCCATGATTAACGCGGCAATAACGATTATTTATAGGCCTAAAACAATGTTTCACGGTGTGTCCACCCCCATGGCTGGCCAGCCCGGCCGGTCTCGTTCGGTCTCTCGCCCGGCTCTCCATACCCGGCTTGAATCAGCAGTTAGTACTTTCTCTCCCTTCCTCCCCCTCTTCCCCAGCCCCTCCGCCACGCGACACGGCCGGATTTATGCAAAAATCTCGGAATGTCTCCGTGGGGTGCCGCTACGCGCCTAATTAATCGCGGCAACACGACACACCGTATCCTCTACGTCCACTACGTATTATCTACGTTCTGATAGTGATTGGAAAGCTCGATGGATTTAGCACCTGGGAGGCCCTTTATGAAACACGCCCGACGAATCGTATCTCCCTTTGGATCGTCGCTCTTGGACCGGTGGGACGGGAGAGAATCGTTCTGAAAATGATATTGCGGGGTGGAGGGAGGGGGAAGAGAAGGATGGGGGTGGACGTGATATTGGCGTAATTTACGGGGTGGTTATGGGTGAGCGTGCGGTGGTGACGTGGAATTTACGCGATTTTTTCGCCTCGATCGGGGGTAATCACGACATCTGATGGTGTAGAAATGTTTACGACGGTTCGAAGAGGATGAATTAAAATTGGCAAAGCGTAATTTACGCGATTTTCTCTCTCTCTCTCTCTCTCTCTCTCTCTCTCTCTCTCTCTTTTTCTCTTTTTTTTTCTTTTTGGATCGATCGAACCAGATGCGATCTGGTATGGGCTTTCATAGCGCGTGGAAATGTTTACGATGGCAAAAGGGGAAGATAATTCGCATAATTTTTGAAAAAGATTGTATCAAATTGAATACTAAAAATTTATTAAATCGATCTTCTTACATAAAAGCGAACTATTGTAATTCAGACTTTTATGTTTTTTTAGTCTTTAGAATCGAAAATAATTTTTATATCGCATACTTTTCAATACTCTTTTCTCTTTTTTCGAACTTGCACAATCGTAAAAATATGAATCCGTTTGATTAAACTTCTCTTCTCTGTAAATCTTCGATAAGAAGAGACTTCTCTCTAAGATCAAGATTTTACTGTATTGAACCCCTTCCCCAATATTTACCCCCAACAGATTCGCATAGACAAAGTTCTATCGCGCTGAATAAAAACGCATACGACATTTTTTCCCATCATAGAAACAATTATTTTTCCACCTTATATACATAGGCGCACTCAGTATATATATCGGCAAGGAACGTTCGCGTGTCGAAAATCCGTGCCCGATTTCCCGGCTAATCCCAAACTTTTGATTACTTTCCGTGGAATCCTTTCCAAAACCGGCGGATAGCTAGTCACTACGATTGATCCTTTCGACCGTATAACGAACTAGGAGGAAGTCCAATTTGAAATTTTCCTGTCTGGGTTCAATCAGCTTAACGAAAGAACGTCGTGGCAAGAGAAAGAGAGAGAGAGAGAGAGAGAGAGAGAGAGAGAGAGAGAGAGAGAGAGAGAGAGGGAGGGAGGGAGGGAGGGAAAAAAAGGAAATCCAGAGAAGAGAGAGAATCAGATATTTTTCATCCTGTTTATAGGGGGGGTATATAGGGGTGGAACGGATACTTTTTCTACGACGTCATTGTTTGTACGGGTCAGCGGAGGCATAATAATAACCGGTGGACGAGGGAGGGTGGGGGTTGGAATAAAAGCGAGTTTGGTCCAAGAAAACATATCCATTCCATTCCAGCGAGAGGGAAAGGAAGTGAGGGCCGAGAGGGAAGATCGAGGAAAGTAACTAGGCATTACCAGGCAACGCGGAGGGGAGCGAAGTGAAGAGAAAGACAAATAAAGAAGGAGAACGGGAGGAGATTGGAGGAGGAAGGTAACTTTTTTTCTTTTTTTCTTTCTTTTTTCTCTCTCTTTCTTTCTTTTTTCTCTTTCTTTCTCGGCCAATAGATTCGACGACCTTCGATTTTTCGCGCTCGATAATGCGCCATTCGAAATTCCAAACGTTTTACTCGAACTCGGCCCTCCTCCTCCACCGCCGAGGGGTGATGAATATTATTTGAGATAAGAATTTTTCGTATTTCGATGGAGAAAAGGGTTCAAAGGTCCATTCTACCGGTCATTTCTATGCGGACGTGGAAGCTCGTCGGTGCGTGCCGCTCCAGCCGGCAAGCAATTTCCCAAAGAATCCGTAGAATTCGATGCATACCTATGGCCTCTCGGGCGGACGAATAAATTAGGCATACGTCGGTGACGTTATATCTGCGCTGATACATCCGAATGGATTCGCCGTGGAATTCGTCGTCGATGTTATTGATGCGACCGACAATGCTCTAAGACTTCCTAAACCCAGCCTGTGGAAATGTGAATTTTCGGATGGAGATGGATATGTTTTCGCGATACTAAAATTGTTGAAATTTAGGGATAAATTTTTTTCTCCCTTCATTCGTTGAACAGATTGTATCTTGTACTTAATTTGTGCAATTTTGCGAATTTTTTCCTGGTATCATAAGAAATGACTTATGATTGAGGAGTTACAAAAATATTATAAACGCTGACATATATATATATATATATATATCTGTTATAAATATTTATTGATAAATTATAGTTGAATTTCCGCTTTTCTATCAGAATTCATGAGCGATTATAGGTAATTGAAATGAAAGATTTAGCATACATTACAGGAAATTCGAAGGAAAGTCATAATGGAACTCGAGCCATAGAAGCCTCTTACGGTTGACACGTACAATGTTACTGTGTAGATGGCTCCGCTCTCTCGTATTCTATGTATACATGTATTAAACTTGCCGATCGTAACAGCGAATGATTGACAGTGTGCAGATAGGAAATAGAGACCAGAAATAGCAGTAGCAAACCGTATCAATCAGACATGGGAACTTAGCCATCGACGTGAGTATAGGAGCTCTCACGTTCAATGAATTATTTACAACGCTTACACGTTTCAATTGAAATGAAAGTTTACTTGAGCTCCTCGCCACGTTTGTCATTTGCCGTTTGTAAATTTAATCGAGATTGATTATACATCAATTGTGGAATTTCCTATTAAGATGTTTTGGCCAGTTTGAGAGGATGTTTAAAAAATTATAGATACTCATTGTTGTTGTTATATCTTTTTTTTTTATAAATATTTCTTTCTTTTCCATTTCCTTTGATTAATATTTTAATCGATAATAAATTCAAATGAAATTATAAGCAAATATTGGTATTTACAATTTTTACTATTGCATCACTTTTTCTAAAATTTGTACACTTTATTCCATTATCTTCTCTTAATATTTTCAGATATATTTTCTTCTAATAATGATTCTAATAAATTTAATCAATAAATGAGTTTAGAAAATCTGTATAAAATTTGAATAATAAAAATCACGTTCAATATCGAATCTTCTGGTCCTTGAAAGAAATTCTAACGATTCGATTATCTGATAATATAATTATCGAACAATTCACACTTGGCTACATTAATTTCCCTTAATAATTCGATAATTCATTAATTCCATCGAGCGAAGTTTTAATCGATGAATAATCAATACTAATTTCATTTATCCTCGTGTACCATCAGAAGTTCTGTAACGACGTTTATTCGAAGATGAATTAAAAGTTTCACAACGTCGACAACGTGTGATGAACGAACGCAAGGCAAGCACGGCTGCAAACAGTGCAGCATCGACAAACAAATGTAAACGAGGCGGAGTGTGATAATTCATGCAACGAGAGTTTGATACTTGTTTATCTATGTTTGTCTTTGCTTCTCAACGTTGTTGTTGCAACTCGATGTTCCTTACCAAGTATGCGCACGTCTATTAAGGTGCTTTCTCTATCAATTTTTTTTTCTTGACGTCGTTTTTTGAATGAAATTATTATTTCTTAATTGCGATGGATTTTTTTCTTTCATAAAGTTGCTCGAAAATTCCTTTCTTTCTTTCTTTCTTTCTTTCTTTCTTTCTTTCTTCTTTTTTTTTCCATAAGAGTTATAGGATATTAGTAGAAATATATTCTCTTTGATTCATTTTAGAAGTCGAAACAAATAGAAAAATTGATATGCAAAATTGAGATTTGCATAAAAAATGTATATAGAAATCTGAAGAAAACCGTAACGTGTATTTCATAATTTCATCGTTGGTCTTCTGTTAAATTATTTAAATTATAAAATTATAATTTTTTTCAATCATTTTTCTTAACACTTCATTTTTCTTTTATTAAAAAAAAGTGAATCTTGCTGAGACTATCTTCTTTTACATAACTGAAATATAAATATGATATGTATATAATATTTACATTTAATATCTGGAAAAGATGTTATATACAATATCAGAAATATCAGTTTATCATTGCAATTATCAGTTTATCATTGCAAAGTGTATGCACAGAAATCTTTTTCCTCTTGACAAATAGCAATTTCAAAAAATCATATTGATTTTAATGTATCTTGTTTTTTCGATGAGTAGAAGTGTCCATCTTTTTATAAAAATACATCAGAATATTGACAATAATACTGATAACAATTAAAAAGATCACGAATATCACAATCGTCAAGAATATTATAATATCCGTGTCATAACGTTGATACCAAGGTTCCCAGGCTAGTGTGGAACGAAGATGTAAAGCGCCTTTTGTTCGTATCACATATTCCGTCCACCAAGCAATTTTTTTCACATCCTGAGATGTCTCTCTAATTTGAGTTCGAATATCGAGCACTCTTTCTTTATATCTGAAAAGAATTGAGTTGAAACATCGTTTATATAAAAATCATGGTAATAATCACGAATGTATTAAAATTTTTATCAAAGATGTAATAAAATATTAAATTTCTGGAACGTACATTAACAAATATTGAAAAATTTAATTAAAAATTTAATTCGATATTATTATTAAATTAAATAGTATTTAATTAATCATGTTATTAATTAATATAAATGTAAATATTCCTACGAGACTTACTCTTTATTGGTTATAACTTCTTTAATAGCATTTTCGAATTGATCTGGAATAATTGTTCTAATATCCAAATATTTTCCCATTCCAAGAGCTTCAATTCTTCTTACTAAATAATCTTGATCTCCTAATATTGGAAAAGCGATAATTGGCACTCCGAAATTAATCGCTTCTTCGGTACTTTGTTGACCTCCTTGATAAATGAACAATTTAATCTTTGGATGAGCTGTCAAAAAATATATATGCATCGTTAAATACGTAAATATTTTGATGATTATCATGAGACTAGAAACTCTAAACATTGATTTCAATAATCTTGAAATCTTAGAGAGAGGATTCTTTTATCCTTTGAATTTTAGTGTCCAGATAAAAATTCGATATCTATTCCACAATTAAATATAATCTAATAACGCAATTTAATTACTAAATCCAATATTTTAATCTATTAAAGATAGGTTTAAAAAATTGCATAATATACTAAAGTATAATATGTAGAAAGTATTATTGATTCTTTAAATAATTACTGTATAATTGATACATACGATCAAGAACATTTTTGCGTGTCTCAAAAATTAAAACTTATCAGCAATCGTAGAGAAAAAATTATCTATTCCCAATAGTTACGATATTTTATTAAGAATATTTTATTAAAAATTAAATACCAAGAATACTCTGTTGAGGAAACCAATCTTTAATGTAAATATTCCCGGATTTCTCGGGTAAATCTTGCTCGTATTTCCACACGATTTTATATGGCAATTTTGCGAAAATATCGCAAAACATGCGTTTAATTTCTTTTGGCAAACATGAACTTCTTGCGTTTGTACCAAGACTGAAATAAATAAATCCTTCTTTCGCATCGTCTAGAAATTCTTCCAAATCCTGCAACAAAAATAATTCAATTAAATTTATATTTTCTTATCGTACAATCGACGATATTCTATTTGAATAAATTTATGGATTAATTAAAAATCAATACAAAAGATTTTTCTCCACAGAATATATTTTACATAATTAAAAATTTATCATCTCTTTCATATTCATGTTTCTTCCATTATATATTTCATTTTGTTTTGCAATATTTATTTCTCTATAAATAATGAAATGATATTTATATAAAAAATAAGATGTATGTTGTACCTTCGATAAAGGTGACGGATTGTCAGACACGTGGAAAGAATTGAATGAGATTATATTCGGAAGTTTGGGCCGTGCAGGTGATAAAATGTCTATCTGATTGGTAAAAATTAAGCTAGCGTTTTTCATAATATCCATCAATGGTGGTAGTGGTCCAAGATATTTCTCTGCCAGTTTTTGTTGGAAGAAAAATATATCGAAATTAATATGGTACAGGAAATTCCACATAGTCACGAAATTACTCAATCTCTTGAAGAATGGCAAATTTGTGCCCGTGTTCGCTTCCATTTCCCATGTGTATTCATGAGAAGGTAGAACGAGCCCTCCAAGAATAAATTCATTCAAGGCAATCATTCCCAATGAACTTAATCCTACAATCATATAAAACGATTAATTGAAAATAGAAATAATAATTTTCATTCGTTTAAAAAAAAAAAATAAAATTTTGTTCTTTGTGGAATATTTTCATGGAAAAAAGCATTGTCATCGTGATAATGTCTTATCAACTTTTTTAATTCTTTTTTTTTAAAAGTGTATATCTGATAACAATAACAAACATGTGATACGTAGAAGAAATAATTAGACTGAGAAAATACGAGAATTTTCACAAAGAATGATTTCGATTGCAATGTTAATTAATTTGCGCCGAATATAACAATATTTTCATACAAAATATAAAAGTTATCGTCCGTTTGATTTCTTTATTAATAAATTTCACGTAAACAAATTATTTTAGAATGTTCGAAAATTTCAAAAGATAAATAAAACTAACTATTAAATAATTTTATTTAACAATAATAATCATTAATACATTTATATAAAATAAAACATCATATACATTAGACAATAATAAAAGATATTATTTAATATTATCACACTATTATTCATATTGAATAGTATTCAATATATATTTGTCATTAATGATGGAATAAAAATTTTCCTCAATCTGAGATTTTCATTTTCAAGAATTTTTTTCTAAAAAAAGTTGATCCATATCGAATAAAATTTATTAAAAATCTTGATTAAAATCATTAAAACTGTTTCTAACTTTTCAATCGCGATAATCATTTGATGAATACAATTAAAATTATAAAAAATAAATACATACCTATTAATGGAACGTTAAATCTGTGAGCAAAAGCGCACATAGCTGGTCCGTAGAAAAATTCCACCAACAAAACATCGAATTTTACAGGATTATCCGGGACATACAATTTTTTCACTTCAGATGAATTGAACACCTCGGTCAAGAAACACGTGTACAAAGATATAATGTAATTCTCTAAGATCCTCAACCAGCTAACGTGTTCGAAACGATTCTCGATGAAATCGAGTTCCTTTAAACAACTGTACGAATGACTGATATCGATCTGAGTGAAATTCGGTAAGCTGATATCCGGTATAGGATTCGTAGTGATCATTACAATCTCGTGGCCACGTGCGTGTAATTCGAGCCATAATCGTCTATACGGAATCTGATGGCTATAAGACGGCGTTGGGACAACGGACAAAATTTTGTAACAGTCCGATTTATTCGCGATAATTAAAACGTATAAAAAGGATAGCCTTGCGATGTTGCGTATCATGTTTCAAGCTAAACTGACTTTATACGTCTGTTATTTCTCTTTTAAATGAAACTACAGAAAATTATGGGTAATTATATACTAATACTATACAGTATTATAGGATGTATGTATATAATCATTTAATTACATAAGAATGCCACATTATATTCTTATAATATTGAATTGATATATTATATTTGTACAATATTATGTAAATTTTATTATATAAGTGTTAAGGATAATACGTTATTACATTATGTTACAATTAGAATTGTAAATTGTTCGCGCTCGAAATAATAGTCTGATATAATGGATATAATTTGATAACTGTCGAATGCCTTTCGACTAGTTATAACAAGTGTACTTTTTTGTTGTATGTAAGTTATATTGTATATAAGTTGCTCGCGTTTATCTGTTAGAGAGCAGGATTTTTCATAATGTCACAGCAGATAAAATCCAATATTTCGATATTTATAAACTATCTAATTGTTGTATTCGACGATATAAGATGATCATCATGATCACTCTATTAGCAAGTGATGACAAGTAATCCAATACGGAAAAAAATCCTTTCCTTGTTCAATTGGAGGGTCACAGTTTTTCAGTGGAGCACGTCAATTATTAATATCGATTCTTTAATGATATTTCACTAATACACATCTTATATATGCATTTAGCAGTTTTTTAAAGTTTATTTTATAGAAATAATAGTCAGCTCATGACTCGTGATACCAAGTTCGAGGAAAATTCTTCGCTTGAGTGATAATCTGTATAAAGATTCCAAGGCAAGAGCATCCTTCTCGTATATTTATAAATCTCGCGAGGAATAAGTGTTAACACAGATTGGATTGTCGTCGAATTATAATTTGAAATTATTTATATTGCTAGCATCTATAATAATGTGATAAAAAAAATTTTTAAAGTATTTTTCACATTATTATCTCTATAAATAAATCTTAACCCATTTTTATACTTGTTTTAACTTCTGAAAAAATTGAATAAAATATTTCTAATATCTTATTCGACAAATATTAAGATATATTTGTAAGCTGAATTAACAATAGAAAATTATTATTATTCGCTCGTCGTATAATAGCAGTTATTTTGGCGAATTTTGGCAAATTGGTGAACGAAACGCGCTTGAATGGAAAATTTTCCCTGTCCGTTCGATGTCCAATTGTTACGATGTCACGTTTAGCAAATCACTCACTCGGATGTTAATTCTTTTTTACACCGGACAACGGGGAATAGGACAGCGGGGAAATCGATAAAACCAATAAACTCTGGCAATAACGTGCTAATATCCTGAAGACCATTCTCGCCCACGGCATTTCTCCACCCCTTTAGTGCCTCGTAAAGTGTAAACGATGTCCGAATGCCTTTGTAATTGCTTCGCTATGACTTGCTCTTGTCAACGAACTCGATCCTGAAATAAAATAAGTGGTCAGATGTGGACGAGATTAAACGACACAATTTTATTTGTATTGTAAGAGTAAATATTGGCGAGAAGGTACAATAATTAACGTAAAATTAGCGCAATATTTCGGAAAGATTAAATATTTCATATATCGAGAATATCATTTCAAATATCGAGAAAAGGGAAAAAGATCTTGTAAGATAAAATTATTAATCGCGTAAATTGGCACTTCAAGTTCCAAATTTATGAACATAAATTTAAATATAATGAAAAGAAAACAATCATTTAGTAATAATTGTCACAGAAAAATTCTGTATACGTATTGATAAAATTTTTGAAGTTATATCTTAGAATGATTGCTATCGAAAATTTGGAAATGCAAGGGAATGCATTTATCCTTAACGATACAATTATTTATTGTTCCATAATGTGTATATTTTCACATATATTCGATCGATGTTTTTTTTCTTTACGTGGCAACATTTCACGATTGAAGTTTAAAATTTAAATTAAACATGCTTCGATATTTCGATTTCCATCAAACGTGAAACCACAATCGCGAAACAAGTAACGCCATGGTATATTCTTTGCACGTTGTTGGATTGTTTTCAAGAAAAACAATAATCCAGGAAATATCGGTGGATAAGCCGTTAATATGACATGAAAAATATCAGTCCAAACAAACGAGTATTCTTGACTGAAAACCAAGCGACGTGCAATTTATTGAAGTACTTGTGTGCTATGTGTGTATGTACAATTTTCTTTTTATCTTTAAATGGGTTTTCTGGGAAAATATAAAAAATATTATCGTTGGAGCAAACATTAACTGACAAATTTGATGGATAACGTGAAAAATAAATCTTTTTAATTGATAAATTTTAAATTAAGGAATATTTGTTTAATTGTTATCTTGTTATCCCTATTTATTCGAAGATTTATTTTTAACGTAAAATTAACCCTTTCGCTACAAAGAGTACATAACACGTATGTTGAATAATCTTTTTGTATACGTGTTACATCTTGTGTAATTATACAAATCGCTTATTTAAATACTCTGTAATTTTCCTCCTCGAGATAAAATGAACGCTCGTCCATATGCACACCTTCTCCCTGTTAACCCCTTCAGCGCTGACGTTAAGTGTGCAGCCGAGGACTGCTGACTTTTTATGATAAAGCACACACTGGACTGAATAAATTTGAACTTTCCATGCAAAATATATTGATTCCACTTAAAATAATTTAAAAAGTAAATTGCAAAAAACTTTAATAAGAATTATTTATTTAATTACTGATATTTACATCATCACTGATGTAAAAAGAGTAAATTATACGTATCTTTTAAATTGCATTTAATATCCCACATTGCATTTAATTAAAATATACATAATGTTGAAAGATTTATATAAAACTTTTATATATAGAAGAATATGCTAGAATTTTTAGAAACAAACGAAATTTAGATATATTAATATATATTACGAGATTGTTAATTTTATTATATAAAAGAATTAATTCCTTTATTCACACTGTGTGAAAAAATAAGATAAGATAAAGAAATATCACGAATTAAAAATACATAAATATAATAGTGACCTGTAAGACATGTTTGATCAATGTTTAGTTCATCACCAAATCTCAAAAGTGTCTCAGAATATAATATTGTTTCACTATTTGTTTTATCGTGCATACTGGAACAATGCAAAAAAAAAAAAAAAAAATAAACAAAAAATTTCTTCTTTCTCGTCAAAGAATTAGTAATTATCTAATAATACAACGTATTGATTGACGATTATTATTATCCATCGGTATGCCAGAGTTTAAGGATCCTCCCCCACTGCCGATTCGAGACTGCAAGAGATCTCTACTGCTCCTCAGCCTGAACCCAACAAAGTTACACACTTGGCCTTCTCCTGTCAATAATACCGTCGAGCCGGCAAGTAACTATACGCCTCCAGCGACTCCAGAGCCTCTGTGTGTTCGTGAACTTGCCGTCAGACGTCCGACCCTCCTATCCAATGCCCGTATTTGAAATACGTCAGGTGTAAGGGGGCGTGGAGGGTGGGTAACGGGTCGATTTAATTCCCTAATTCTCGGGATCGACAGCAATCGTAACACGACGAGCCGTGAAACTACTCTTCCTCGCATCCTAGGTCTATCTCAGTGTTTCTCAACCCGTGACTTGTGCTTCAACAATTTTTAATCGAATAAAAATTTAATCGATATATTCTTCATTTTTCATCGACACGATTTAAAATAGGACAACGCAATTGATTAAACGATGGATTTCGAAATATATTCAAAGATATTGCGTTACTTTTCTTATAACTCGATTCGAATCGTAAAATTCATGAGATGAAGCACAATCATTAAATTGGATCTTTATTTGGTTGATGGATTAGTTTTAATTTTATTGATTGTAATAGATAATTAATTTTATTGATTATAATAGGTAATTAATTTTATTGATTATAATAGATATATTTGGTTTCGTAAACATCCAATTTGTAATTCTGACGTAATATTCCCAGTGAATTTCATTCGAACTATTGTGTTTGAAGATTTTTTAAATATTGATAATAAGATTATCTCTGTGAAGAGATAATAATATAATCTAATGTATCATCTTGTGCAAAATTTTGCCATAGGAATCATCGCAATTTCGACAGCGTTAAGTCGCATTAAATGGAAACGCGAGCAAACGTATTGCGAATGTAAACGCTTGATAAGATTAATTTATGATATTTGAGATGTGCAATTGGTAATTACATTAAATACATTAGTTTAAACTAGTTCTCCAGAGATTACGTTAAATATCCTTTGCGTGTGGAAGTGCTATCAAGGTATTCTGTATTCGTTATGGTATTTAAGTCGATTAATTCGCGAAACAATGAACACTGCTCAAATGATAACCGTCTTTGTCATATTTTGGGGTTAACAAGTTTCGAATTATACAGATATATGAATACAATTATAACTCATTTATTAAATTTTATCTTATTCTTAAGATGCGATGAAGTAATTATGTATATTGATTATTGAAAAGATTTATAATAAAAAAAAGAAGAAGATTTATAATAAAAAAAGAAAAATTCACGTGGTTCTTCCTAATGAGTTTGAAGTTGGAAAAAGTATTGTGAAAATAAATTCTTAAGGAATAATTTTTACTAGAATAATCAAACGAATTATTAATTATGAAATATAAAAATTAGTTTTTTTAGATACATGATAATTAAAAAAAATTATATATATAATTTAAATTTCATTTAGAAAAGCAATATTTTTTATATTCATTAATCTATTACAGATTACAATTACAGATAAAATAATATTTTCATCTTTCATATAAATTTCTCTATAAATTTTACGTACACAAATATTTATTTCCTTTCTCAAGATAATCAAGGTTATAAAAATAATTTAAATCTCCAAAGGAATTATTTTACGATATAGATAAATTATGCAAATACAAACACATCATTTTTTTTCTACAAACATAAAAATTAGCAATTACATCTCTACTAATTTTCTAATGAAGAATACAAAATCCCTGTCCCTTCCCAATTCTTCCAATTTAATTTGTTCTTTCTTTTCTACCAAATTAAAA